CATTTGCAATAAGGATGCTGTCAGTGTCTGAACCATGGTATGAACACTTTTAAGTATGGCTACCATTTAGAAGGAATAAAGAACTTGTCCGGCGATTATTACCGAGTGTTTGTGTTTATGTTACTATCGAAACGGACTATGTATCTTGTAGTTGTAGTGTGATGCAAAGTTGTTACTATGTTCGTCTATGACATTTTAATTCTGAAATATAATGAATATGTAAAGCAGCTATAATGTATTCTTGTGAAAAGAGTACATGAAAATAAGGAGTTACCGTAGTTTTTCATTAAATCCATCCAATACTTTATACTGATACTAACCCACCTATTTCTTCATCTTTCAGCTTGTGGTTGGTGAAGCACACGCTAAATCGCCTTTTGACAGCACAGTAATTGCACTGGCTAATTTCAATGACCTGACTAGTATTCCGGAAGGCATGATCGATAGTTTCATGAAGGAATCTCTAACATTTATGTTTGTCCGTGAGCCGTACGGTCGACTGTTATCAGCCTATGTAGATAAGCTTTTTTCACCAAATCTGTTCTTCTGGAAAATATATGGCGGCTTTGGAGTACACGTTACGCGGAATGAATCAACTGAATGTGGACATAACTTAACATTTAAAGAGTTTGTAAAAACAGTCTTATACGCAGATGAAGTCAACCAGAACAGAAATGGACATTTTACCCCTTCTTATGAGCATTGTGATCCTTGTCGGTACAAATGGCAAGTGATCGGTACTTTGGACACCCTTTCTCAGGATATTTTCTATATTCTGGATCGCATAGGTAGAACAGATTTGATGCGATCACTAAACAAGGATTTCCGAGAGCAATATTTGAACAACACAATATTAGACCAGTTTAATTGGTTATTTAGTTTCCGTGATAACTATGCTAATGATTGTAACGTAACGTTCTATGAGGCTCAAAAAAGACTCTGGAAACAATTTCAAATCCGTGGTGTTCTCACAAAAGAATCGAAATTCCCCCTAACTACCGAAGAGAGTGAAAGTCTCACTAAGAAGAAACTGATCAGTATTGTGTATAATGCGATGGGGAATGCGGAGAAACGGTCCAAAGCAAGAAAAAACAAAGCAGAAGCTTTTAAAGAGGCCTACTCGACAATAGACAGGGAAGATTTGGATAAGCTTAGTAAAATGTTCCAACCGGACTGTGAGTTGTACGGGTATGATTGTAAACCAGAGCAATTGTTCAACACAGAAAGGACTGTAATTGAACCATGGTTCTTTAAATACGATACATGACATTCGTACCATCATAAAGGTATAGTGTTTATGTTAGTTTATACTTTTGGTGTAATTATGGGTAATTTTGGTTTAAGTATTGGTGAAACATGGCTTGATAAAAAATGTATTTTATCTCAGCAGTAAAAACAGGAGGAAAGCGGGTACTGATGAAGGATCAGTCTGACAACGTCTTCACGATCAGTGGTCCGCACTTCCACCCAAACAAATGATCCTATTTTTTATCATGAAATAGGCGAACTAATAGATGAAAGTTGGAAATAAAGATAAACACAGTACTTACTACAGCCTGTGTCTTGTCCATGTATATGCGCTTTCGAACGGTATGATGGACTAGTTATCTCATAAACATTACGCCTCGGTGTCTCACATGGCTGACCCCACAGTCTCCACCACTGTGGCCTAGTCGCATTACACATATACACAAAACATATAAAAACATGGCAAACTTCCATAGAAAACGTGACAGGGCTTGTTGTACATCAAGGTTAGATGTTTCATGGTTTTTTATTGTGTAGTAAGTTACTATATGTCAAACGATTTTTCAGTTAATTATGTCATGTAACCATCTAACCACTGGTATGACATAGCTAGGAGAAACAACATATTTGTTGAAGAGTGTGCTGTATGGTTATTAAGTGAATTTGTTTTCTTTTTGAAATTTGGAACTTTAAAATTTTGAGTTTTATAAATGTTACACAAACCTACTAATCGAATAATCAAAGAACAAAACTATTTTTTCTCTCTCATTTCCGCGTGTTAAAGATAAAGCTGTCCAGGATAAGAAAGGGAAATGGTGTATGAAATTTCAATCTTACAACCCGTTTCACGTGACGTGACGTAACAATTGCTCAACAATGACGTGAAGTCACGAATTTGATAAGTATTCGATTTGAATATTTTTCTTTACTTCAAATGCTTATTGTCGAAAAGATTGTTTCATCAATTTCCTAGGATAAATATTTTGTTTCAAGGGTTTGCAAATATATTTGAGCGCAAAATTATCAACACAATCACTTTACATAGGGCAATGTCTGATGTCCGATGGCCAATCCTGTTGACTTATTTTGTCCATTTCATTTTGACGGTCATTTTCTTCTAAATAGGGGGATGATGATGATGATTGCGTACCGTTAGTTTTTCATTCCTAATATAACATTTACCGACTGTTTGTGGAACCTCGTTTTGAGAAATACAGCATGGCAGTCCTCAGTGTAGACCATATTTGTTGTTGTCTATAAGAACCCGAACCTATCTGCAAAAACTCAAACTTATCAAGAGTCATAACAATTGCAATATGGATCGAATCTTAGAAAATCAATATCGTAAGTTAAAACAAGTGTACGGCGGGACGCAACAATATAAGCCCGTCGAATGCTATATAGTGTTATATAGTTTCTTACATTGAAATAAGATCTGCATCATTCTAAGAGTGGTTAGCTCTCCGGACAAAATAAAATACTGAAATGAACAAAGGGCAATAACTTTTGGAAAAATTGTCGAATCAAACTTCTTTTAAGGGAGACACAACTTCATATCATGATCATAATGTATACTGTTACAAGTTTCAAAGAGATCGGTCGAAAAATGTAGGAGGAGATTGCCGGAAACAAAATTTTACGCCGGACTGAAGGACGGACGGAGGGACGGACGGACAACCCCATACCATAATACTTCCGTCAAATTTGACGGGCGTATACAAAATCCATATCAGTGGAGAAATTCGATATCATCTTACCGCAGATAAATGCTAAGTTTGTTTCGTACTTTGCGAGCTATCGTAAACGTCTGTTTCCTTTGTCAAGCAAAAGTGTATGACCGGTACATAGACTTTAAACAACTGAAAACAACTCGCGAAGCCACAATGTGCCGAATCAGTAAAGTCAGATGTCAGAAATAGTTTTACCATGACAAAGTAAACAGAAGTTTTCAAACGCTCTCAAAATGAGTTTTGAATTTTGTTTTGTTTTCAAAATAAATTAAGCGTTTATTATTCATACCTAACCGATTAATCTTATTCCGATTCCTACTAAAGATGCATCGGAACATTTTTGCTCAGTAAGAAATCTCTGGTGATTTGTGTTACATTTTACAAATTCCGTTTGATATTGTATTCATTCTATGACTATATTACCCATTATGCTCATGTATATATACATTGTATACTGTGTAATTACGTTATTAGATTTAGTAAAAATACTCATAAATATTAAGTACTTCCTTATTTACTGTTACTTTAAGCACGCTCCTAAACACTGTCAACATATTTCAGGAATTGTGGGAGTTTGGAAGCAAAACTGTGATAGGTAGGCTCAACGCCTATGGAAATTTAACATTAGCGTCGGCCCCCGCTTGGAATTTCAAAACAAGATAAATACAAAAAGGTATGGGTATAGGAAGCTTAAATCAGGAACAGTTATCTTCGGAATTCATTTGATGATAAATAGGACCTCATTGACTTACACCTGTGTCGGTGTTAAAGGTGCGGTAATACAATTCCTTCTAAAACATTTAAATGACCCAATTACCTTAAAGTTATATCATCATCGTGTGCAATATATTCCAACTGTTATTTTGATACCAAATATTACACTATTTCAAGAAAGTATTGTTCTCTTTATTGTATATTACAGCAGAAAAGTATGTGAAATTTCATTACTAATGAGAAAAATTCCTTTTTTGACACGTTAATTTACGTAGTTCTTCAACCAGTCTATTTTTCATACTTGCTTGAAGGTTGGCTACTAACAATAACTTTCAACACTAGGAATTTCAAAAAAATATGACAACCGGTAAATTTGTCATATAACACTTTTGATTAAAAAAAAAAGAAAAACATAGCTTTTCTTCCACTTTTCCTTTATGTTGTGTTTCTTCATGACCAAAGGTCATTGGGTCTTGATATTTGGCAAGTAGTTTGTTCATGAAAATGGATTTAAGTTTTGTAAACATCGATGACCTTGACCTTCGTTCAAGGTCACACAATTAAATTTGCTAGAATAAAATGTTTGTATGGGGAGTCAGACAAGGATATCTTTCCTTACTTTATTTGTTTAGAGTTAACGATTTAAAATAATGTAATATTCCTTTATTTTTTGAAAAGTAAATATGCAATAGGCAAAATAAAATAATAACTAGAACTGTAAGGTTAACTAATACCACCCGCTCCTATATAAACGAGAACTGTAGGCAAAGGGCTAACTAAGACAAAGCATTGTAAAGCAATTCATACTCACCCATCGGTAATTATTTAAGCATATAGTAGTTAAGAAAGAGTTGTCAAGACAAAGATTTTAACAAAGGGCTATAACTCCTTAAAAATGGTCGAAATGAAAAATACCGCCCTGATGCACGACATCAGGGGGTAATTACCATATCTGTAAACTTTCATTGAAATCGGCCAAGTAGTTTTTGAGGCAGACAGAGTTTTTTCAACAAAGGGCCATAACACCTAGTTAAAGGTCGGAATGAAAACGTGCTATTTGGATGCACAATGTCAGGGGGCAGTTACCATATCTATAAACTTCCGTTGAATTTGGCGCCATAGTTTTGGAGGAGGTGTCTGGACAAGTATTTTTCAACAAAGGGTCATTTCTCCTTAAAAAAGCGGTCAGATTGAAAAAAACAATACCTGTATGCACAACACCAGGTAGTAGTTATCATATCTGAAAACTTTCGTTGAAACTGACCCCATGGTTTTGAAGGGCATGTCCAGACAAGGATTTGGCAACAAAGGGCCATAACTTTGTAAAACAAGGGTCAGAATGAAAAAAATAATACCTGCATGCAAAACTTCAGGTGGTTGTTAACATATCTGGGAACTTTTGTTGAAATTGGTCCGTTACTTTAGAAGGAGTTGTCCGGACAAACTTTTTCTACGGACAGACAGTTTGTTTGTTTGTTTGTTTGTTTATGTTTAACGGCCCATCGACGGCTGTGGTCATTTAGGGCCATGGTGATTTATTTATTCACTTTACTTTTTTAACAAACATGTGAATAGCGAAGATAAAATCAGATAAAATGGTTCATTTTAAAAGTATTCGCATTGTATGTGTAGATAATTAAAAATAATAAAAGGGGGTTAAAATAATAAAAGAGATAACGAATAGATGATATGGAATATGCGATATATATATAACGTCAAAAAGGATAAGGTGGGTTAAAAGACATCAGAGTCTATAAAATAGACCGATGTCTTTCAAATAGTTAAATAATGCCTTCGAATCCACGGAACTGAAAAGTGTTTTCATATCCGGGACTCGGAAGTAGTTATCACGAATGTGTTTAAAATCGGAACATTCTATTAAAAAATGCTCCACTGTAAATGGAGTGTCACATGCGTGGCATGAAGGTATATCTTCTCGTTTTAAAAGGTACGAATGAGTAGGATATGTGTGCCCAGTGCGGAGCCGAGCGAGGACAACTTCCTCTCTACGATCTTTCCGACTGGGAATAGATGTTTTAAGTTTCGGTTGTATCTTAAAAAGTTTGTTGTTGGTCTCCAGAGACCAGCGTTTCTGCCATTCATTTTGAATGGCTGTACGAATAGTAGGTTTAAAATCTGTGTATGGTAGTTTGATATTTGTTTGTTCGAGATTCAATGCATTTTTTGCTTCCCTGTCAGCAAATTCGTTGCCTTTTATTCCGACATGGCTCGGAATCCATAGTAAAGTTATTTTAGACTTTTTTAATATACGAGATATTCGATGAGCAAGGTTTTGTACGATTGTGTTTTTAGGATCTCGTAACTGTAAACTCTGTAGGACAGATAGAGAGTCTGAACAAATAATTGCCTTTTTAATGCGGTGTTCATCGATATGGTCGAGGGCCAAACCAATGGCGCATGCTTCAGCAGAAAAGATGGAGGCGCCGTCTGGTAGTCGGACTGAAGTGCAAGTATTGGCAGTACAGCAGGCTGCTGCCACTTTCTCACCTTCTTTGGAGCCATCGGTGTAAAGTTGTGTATGAGAAGGGTAATTCGAAATGCATTCCCGAAAGGAGGATTTGTGTTCTTCGGGCATAACACTTGATTTCCCTCGCTCATGTAATGTAAAGTTAAAATCGGGGGTTTGAATGGTCCACGGAGGAACATCAGATATGTTAAATTCAGCTATGTCCGTCAATTTTATGTTGAGTTCTTGCAGGAAATTCAAAATTCGGATACCAAATGTTGGCAGAAGTTTTTGGTTTTGCGTAAATATGTTTTGGTATTTGGGGTTGAATACTTGGTTGAAAGCAGGATTTTTAGGGTTTGATTTTAATTGAGTTGCAAATTGTAATGAAAGTTTTATTCTTCTGTCATAAAGGGATGGTTCATTTGCTTCCACGTACAGGCTTTTTACAGGTGTTGTTCGAAAAGCTCCCAGGGCAAGACGTAGCCCTTGGTTATGGATTGGATCTAGCATCTGAAGGTACGAACTGCGCGCTGACCCGTATACCATAGAACCATAATCCAGTTTTGTTCGAATAAGTGATCTGTATAGGCGCAAAAGCATTTCACGATCCGCTCCCCAATCAGTATGAGAAAGGACTCGTATAATGTTTAACGCCTTGGAACACTTATCCTTCAGATACTTTATATGTGGTATGAAAGAGAGTTTCGAATCAAAAATGAGGCCGAGAAATTTAGTCTGTTCAACAACAGGAATTCTAGTGCCATCGAGTGTTAGATTTGGGTCATTGTGTGCTTTTCGTTTTTGACAGAAATGCATGCACACAGTTTTGGATTTAGAGAATTTGAAGCCGTTTTCGTCTGCCCAATTTTGTAGTTTGTTTAAACTCTGTTGAAGTTGTCGTTCTATCGTGTGCATGTTCTTAGATCTGTAACAGATCAAGAAGTCATCCACAAATAACGACCCTTCTGTTGATTGACCAAGACATTTGACTATATCATT